GCTAGGACTGTTTCAAGTTTAAGGTAATGCCTACTGCTGTCTTTCGGAAAAAAGAAAAAAAGGTGTATATCATTTTCATAACACTTACATGTCTCTCAAATCTAGAACTAACCATTTCTCAAGAGATCAATGGACAAACAGGTTCTTTAAGCTGAAAACCTGAAAGACAGGTAGCAGATGGGTCTGTTCTGACAAGTCCCTGGTTCAGTGAAGTGTGAGTTGTTTACAGAGGTAATGCGTTTCTGCACAAAGTAGTGTATTTTCTTGAGATGTGAGCTTCAGGGATGCAGCGTTGCCACCATCCATGTCTCTGGCTGCTCGCACACATTCCTGTACTGCAATTCACACCCTACCAGCTGTGTTGCCAGACATGTCCTCAGCATCATGCTGTAAGCCAGAGGAGTGAAAGCAGTAACCAAGTCCAAGAACTGCTCACAGTGTCTTCACCTTAGAAGCCAGAAAATCCTGGAGTGTTCTCAGAAGCATGTTGTGCCGAGGCTGAATGCCTGGATCTGTACTGAACTGCAAGATGAGGGAAGATCTGTCAGGTTATGCTCATCCGATCTACTTCCAGTGAGAATCTAAACACTCGTTACAAGGTTTGAATAAAGACTATCTGAATTTAGCCTATATTTAACTCATGATAACGACAGCTGCTGCATTCTGTAACTGTGCACTCTGCTTATGGAGTGCTTTCCTTTCTATCTTTAGATGCTTGCAGCCTCTGTGTGTACAGAGCAAGCCAAAAGAATGGGGTTTGTACTGCTGTTTATTATAGAAATGGTCTCAGGTCGCTCATCAGATCCCTCACGTATGTAAGATAACAATAATACTTTTACGGTTTTATGTCACCTTGGAATGCATATTTAATTTCTGTAGTGTCTGGAAAACTTTGCCAGGTGAAAGTCTGTGGGAGCCTGGCTAGCTGACCGGGGACATGTAAACATCGAAATGTTAAGTCAGCGGGAACTTAATAATTATCGCACACAGCTGGTGTAATAGCCAATGAAAGACAAGACTATTGTAGCTAATACTCTGATAGTATAGATACAGTTGCAAGTATAGTAGAATGTTTGGCAAAGACACTGTACCCCTATTGTTAGACCATCTGGTTGAAACCGACCTCGCAGTCTGAAGCTCTGCCAACTCAACATTCTGGGCCAAAGGTGAAGGTACCCGGTGAGGAAGACTGTGAATCTTCCTCCAAAAGACCCCAATAGACGACCACCAGACGGCAGTACGCGTGCGCCAGGAGGAGGAACCCTATGATAATAGATTCTTAGAAGTAATTAGAATATCCCACCTTTTCTTAGAACTAATTATACTAACCCAACCTATTATAATAAATATGTAAGAAGTAAGCCTATAAAGTCTGATGATTGTATTCCAATAAACGAAATATGCTGATCACTCATATTGAGTGACTGTGTCTTCCCTCCGTTCCGGCGAAAGGCGTAACAAAGTGGCGCCCGAACAGGGACTAAAGAAGAGGAGCGGCAACAAAAGTTATCAACTTTTTAAGTAGATTTTGAGTGTGTACATGATTTTCTCAGATGGGTTGGGAGAACTGATTTCATCACTGAACCCAGATATTGAATGCTTGTGACCAGTGCATATAGTGAATCTGGTGACCCTGTACATATCAATTTTCTGGGGAATCATACTTGTATGCATGTGAGAGCAGACTAGTAGCCAGGCTCTGCCCCAGATTACTGAAGATGGGACATACAGGAACAATCAGTAGCTGAGTAGGTAGGGCTTGCGTGGGGGACGCTTTGGTTTACCTCTCTGACCTGGTTGATGTTTATTTACTTGTACCACACATGATTACTCCAGTAGGACAGATGGCATAGACTAGCCAAGTCGTGGTGTTTGGGATACCTCCTCGTATCTGAGGCAGCGTCACTCTGCCAGTGCCTCCCATTCTTAAAATGGTACATAAAAAGTTCCTGTTTTGACAAAGCATTATTTTGCAATTAAATACTTCCAGCCCTACCTAGTCACAAATTAATAGTTGTTTTCCTGGTTATCTACACACCGAAATAGTAGCAATATTTTGGATTACAAGATGAGCAGTGGCATGTGTCCAGCTCCTCTCCTGAAATATTCTGTCAATACTCTGGGGGTAGTGTGTACTTGATAAGAGCAGATCTCTTTCCCCCTTTATGGAGTTCAAATTGTTCTTAAAATCCCCACAGAGTGCGTGGACTGATCACTGCAATAGCTAAATGTGGCATTCTTAGGCTCTAATTCGTGCTGCTAATTAACGTAGGTTTGGTGGGGCTCCGCACAAGTCATGTCAGAGGCAGCAGAAGTGCACTAGCACAATTCCTCTGGGAGGAATCCTCCTTTCATCTTTCCAGCTATGCCAGAGGATGCCAGGGGCAGGCTGTCCCTTGCGCGGCATGGGCTCCATGCTCACAGTTATACTGTTGGATGGAGCAAGAGGCCTGTTAAGGAAATGCGTTGGGTGAAAAGTCTGCTGTGCCAACAGAGAAACCTTCCTCTCTTTCCCACTTGCCAGCGTATGCATACTGCCTCTTACCTAGCTTCAAAAATAATCCTAACCACAATGCAAGATCAAGTTGCCTTCAAATCCCATCCACCTGTACAGATGATGGCAAAGTTGCAAGGATTTCAGGAACTCTTGGCTGCCCTGACACCAGCCACATAACATCCCTAAGGGTGAATGGGATAAACAGAGGCAACTGGAGACAGACAGAAGCAGAGTGTTGAGGCATATGCACATGGAAACTTGATATATTATAATGTTATATTAACTATTCTCCTAATTTTTATGTCCTCTCTTTAAAGGTTGTAGCAGGTTGCTTTACACCCACAAACATGCTGAATTTGAGTTCATTATGGAGACAGTTACAAAGTAAGAAACAAGAGCTACACATTGAACTAAATTTTGTTCACTGCTCAGGATTAAATCAAGAACTGTTACTCCACTTGTGGATTCATCAGATTAGGTCCAAACATTTATGGAGCCTAACAATGTAAACACATTGTGATAATAAATTACATAATTACTAAAATTATAATGATCATTATATCCTGCATTAGCTAACAATATAAAGTATATAGCATGTATATTAATGATCATATATAATATATCAAATGTTATGCAAATAATCATATAGAGTGAAACCACTCATATTAAGACTAGTTACTAAGATGCATGTAAATTGTAAACTCTGTCGGGAATATTTCAAATAGCTGAACCTCATTACTAGGAATATTGAAGGAAATTATGTATAACCTCATCCGCCAAATCACAAAAGAACAGATATAATGGATTTATGAGAATCAAAATAAAAGAAATAAACATACATTTTGACTAAACAAGGGGACCACAGATCTCTAAATTGCTTTGGAAGCTGATAAAACACCAAGGAGGAAAAGAAATAGTTTAGATAGTTACAAACAACAAGCAACTGCATTAACTCAAGAAAAGGAAGGAGTACTTTGAATAACAAAAGAACTCCCATTATGTGCCAAAGGGCTATATTCTGTATGAAACATTAGTATCAGCATTCATCTGTGAATCTTAAAATACTTCAAGTAGAGCATGTATTATTTTATTCATAAACTACCATGCTGACAGTTTAATGGTCTTGTCCACATCACCCAGAAAGCCAATACTACAGCTGACAATTAATCAAAGATTTTCTGACTCTCAAGTCATATCATGACTTCGAGATTGTAGTTTTTCTTGGGCAGAAGCAGGCTGGAAGGTTCAGAGATTCCTCTGAAGTGAAGCAGGTATAATAAGAAGCTAGGTAAAAAAGAAATTAGGGATCTTGGCTACTTCTATTTTTGCAGGCCCAACCTGAGCCACCTTTCAATAACCTTATTTTCATTTCATGAAAATGTAGGCCATTTTCAAGTGCTCTCCAGTCAGGCATGTACATGCTTACTCACCCATAATCACTAGTCACCTTTTTCCACATTTAGCCTGAGAAATACTCCTTATGGGTGGTCTGGGACACTTCACAGTAATTTAATCAAAAGGGAAATTGCTCATACTCCAGTCTAATACTCAATTACTCCCTTTCAAAAACAGTTACAAGTAATTTGGTCTCATCTGTGGGAATGTTTTAGAAATAGATGCCTATTAAACTAACCAGCTTGGACAGCTTCTCATCCACTCCATCCCTAGAAAGACTTACCTCCAGTTACACAGCCTCCAAGGGAAGCATCACACAGGTCACTTCTAGAAGTTCTGCTTCAAAGAGAGAATCCCTGATGTGAACCATCGGCAAATTAGCAAAACACCATTTGCCAGGTCTGCGGCACTGCTTGCGAAAGAATTGCTTACAGTGATACAGACTCAAAAATAGAGGGTACTGGCAACATGAAGGGAAATTACATATGAGAAAGTCTATACAGAAATCTAGTGTAGGATGTATCCATGGTAGGCAGGGCAGGTAAATACCATGAAGATGATTCCAGTCAGTGGCATTATGCCAGTTTTTGCAGCTGCAGATCTACTCCAACACATCTGTCCTCTTGCAGTGAAAGCATATCACTCAGTCATCTCTCTTCCCAAGTTCACATTCACTTCAGTAACCCTGCTTTCCAAGTCTTTTAGGCTTTATTAGTAATACAGTCAGGACCTACTCTGCATCCCTGTTCCTCCAGAAGTTACACTACATTCTCTGTTTTCAGTGAACGTGTGTACGTCTGAAGCAACCTGTGGTGTTTTGAAGGCTGTTTTACCACCAGTCCTTGTAAGGAACCTAGCTTAGGAGATACATTCCCCAGAGAGAGCCTCAAGAAGGAAACTCAGAGCCTGATCCACAACCCCTGCATCACCATCTAGAGAAGTCTATTTCTCTCCACTGGCTACAGAGGCCCCTAAGGATGTTAAGCATCATCTCAGCTAGACATGTAAATATTTCATGGTGCCCAACATGTAAAAAACCCTGCAGGTAATAGCAACAGAATTAAAAGCAAGTTATACAAGACAAGCAAAAAACTGACAGTTAACTTACTCTGAAAACTTTTTCCACCCTTGCGATACCCTTCCCAAAGATGGTTCCAAGTTGGTCTCCAATCCCAGCCAGCAAGAAGCCAAACAGTGGAATGCCAAAGATGGCATACAAGATGCAGAAAACCTTGCCTCCAACAGTGCTTGGGGCAATGTTCCCATATCCTGAGGAGAAAAACAATTGTCAGACTCTCAGAACTTATACATGGCTTTTTAAAAAACACAATGAGTTTAGAAAAACTGCTGTTCCTGCAGGCATACCTTTGTGCCACATGTAATTCCTATTTACAGACTTTCCATGGCATGATGTCATTTCCCAGGTGAGATACCCCCTGTGATTTAGTTCTTCTTGTAGCCTCAGTTACCCATATTTTCTATAGATTCAGGTCCTATCTAAAGTTGATGTTTGATTAATTAATCTAGCTTGACTTATCACAGCACAAAAATCCCTCCATGCTGGCCTGGTGTCTGCGCGCTGCTGCTCCTCCTCTTGGGCTGTGCCAATGACTTCCTGACGGGAGTGTGATTCACCTGACAAGGCTCATTTTCAGTGGTTAGCTCATAATTTCCTCAGCACCTCATCACACTGACTAGTTACACTGTAGCCTCCAAACTGTACCCACAGTATGCAAATCTGTCCTTGAACTCTTTATTCGGTTCCCCTTTCAATTTGACAATAAAGAGCCTAACATTTGTATTTCATGAGTTTTTTTAGTAGCTTTTAACAAGGAAGTTTTTAAGCCTTCCCTCTGAAGATCCTACTTCATTTATATTTAAAAATCATTATTGATGCTGTAATCAAGGTGCATACACGCCTTCCTTCCATCCTCTGTTAGGGTAACCTGGGGTGTTGAAAAGATGACAGATTCTGACCAAGACATAATTATCCAGCTGCATATCCTGAGTGAAAACTCTCATTTTGGCCCAAGCATGTTTGGGCACGTTTTGTTTCAATTCCCAGCCTTGTAACTTCAGATAAAATATCGGGAACATCTGATACTGGCAGAAAGGCAGCTCTCCACCTGTCCTATGCAGTAAACTACATGTAGTCACCACAGTTTGTTCAGGCACTTCTTCCCTTCCCCACACCACCCATGTGAATTTAACTTTAGGAATCTACGTAGAGGATTATGACTCCTGTAGCCATGGTATTTCTGTTAAAATTTTAATGTTAAAGAGAAAAAACAAGAATTGCGGCAGTAATATTTGCATTTTCTTATTTAAGATCAGGTATCTTTATTGAAATGTTAGAGAGATTTGTATTCTGACTATTCATAATTATTTGAATATTAAAAATGATCACACAATCACAAATCACTGATGAAATAAAGTGGAAACACAGAGCACCCACAGAGATGGAGATCTAAGAGTGTATCATCTGCTTCATCTACAGCAATTCCTCCTGATCCTTGGGAATTAAGGCTGGGCTCCCAGGTCCTAATCCTGTTAGGTTTGTGACAATGGCACTGGGTGTATCTCTCTGTCATGGGATGGTGAAAGGACTATGCTGACACACAACACTGCCTCCCCCCCAACCCACAGTCCTTTTCATGGCTGCATCTGTGATCCCAGATTTCTCCTAAAAGTCCAAGAAAATCCAGGCTCCACAGGCCAGCGGACTGAGGTTGACTAGGTAGTCTGCTGAGCGTCTGTCTAAGAGAAGCCTTAACAGGGCTCTGGTGGATTAAATTAAATCATTTTCATGCCCAGACACAATACGTAGACTTCATGCAGCCTATAAAAATCTCATTCATGGAGAATTTAAAGCAAATATGGGCAAAAATCCAAGCTCTTTTCAATAAGTTATTTAAATAGCAGATGTCAATGAATATGCCTACATAAACTATGCCTACATAGTGGCATTTATTCTAATGAGTAATTTAAAAGCTTGTCACTTGGGTCTATTGAGTAAACAAATGTTAAGGGAGGGTTTTCTTATACGTGATTCAGAAGTGTTTTCTTTCTCGACGCCCGCTGGTTTTATGCTACCATTAAAAATACATGGTAATGTAGCTTAGTATATAGAGGAACACAGGGAGGAGTGCGCTCTATGCAATCACTCTTTCACCCTCACTCTGACGACAAAGAAAAGGCAGAGCCAAAGGCACAGACTCCACTGTTTGAGATGATCACCACAGCAAGTCTTGTTACCACCACAGGATTTTTTTTGTTGTATTACCTGCATAAAGAACTTGCAGAATTCAGTCAGATTCTCACACTTTGATGAAGGGTTATGTCTTTGTCAGATTATTTGTCTATACAGTCACCAGTGTGTGCATCACAGTTGTAATATGGAGAAGCACTTTATACAATATTTAAATCAGAAGAATACTCAAAGGCAATGCAAATAAAAAGCAACAATTTGCCAGTGATTTCCAAATAATCATCATCTTGACCTCTAACCATAACAGCACTGAAATCAAGCTTAAAATTATAAAACCACTGTATAATTATCAGCAGATTAACTTTCTCATCAATGTTATCATTTTATCATTTTTTTTCCTTCAGACCATCTTCTGAAATCCCAGCTGCTTGAACAGTCTTCAAGAGAGGAACTGGCTCACAGAGGACAGGATAAAAACCTTAGCATATCTAAGGCCAGCATTCAGAGATCAAGAGACTAAATACATTGAACACAATGTATAGGGGGGACAGATGATAAGGGCCTGAATAATGAACTTACTAAAATTACTGGTTCAAGAAAAGTAAATAGAGCAGTTCAGTATACCCTTCATCTAATACAGAGAAATGTGTCAATATTTCAAGACCACTAATTCTAGAATGTAAAAAAAAAAAGGTTTTTTTTACACAATGTACAATTCGCAGAATTCCTTCCAATTATTAGTATGAAAGTGAGAAAAGATTTTAAAAAGGCTGCGATACCTTTGTGAATACATTTCCAGTTGCAAGGAGTAGGATATGAGAAGAATTACTTACATCAAACTTCAGAGCATAAGCCAAAATTAACTGATGTACTGAGGAAGAAAGTTACTCTTATGGGTAAATTAATCTATAATATTAAAATCCAAATTCCCAACAACCATAGAATAGTTATTTCATTGGGTATTAGTTCTTGATCTTTTTAGTGAAAATTAAGACCACTTGCATCTACATCACGAACAGGGTTATAAAGCCTTAGCTACATCAGTGCTACTTGTTTTCAGTTCAGCATTGCTACTCTACCCTAATTGTGTAAACAACTTCTGATATTTACCCAGAGGCTCAATGCCCTTGACACATACCAGAGGCATGCCTTCTGAGAACTGAGAGAAATACAGTTCAGCCACTTTATTTCTTTGTGATCTACCTTCCTCAAATTTATTTCATTATCCAGGTCTCAATGTGACTATGTATTTTAAAAGATGAACGATAAACATACCTATTGTTGTGATGACTGTTCCAGCAAAGAAAAAGGCACTTCCGAGGTCCCAATGACTGCTGTTGTTAGAGGAATTTCCTATGGGACTGACTCCTGCATTATCAGCATCAATAGCATGCTGCAAAGAGAGAGACAACAAATCAGCCTTATGCATGCCTTACCATATCCTATGCAAGTTGGTATAGGCTCCAAAGGGAAATTTCTAGGACCATGGGAATAGCTTAGAGTTAAACTTTTTAATACCTGCTCAAAGTATAGTAGCATCCTCTGTACACAAGAGCTGAATATATGACTGAACTAAATAGCTATTAAGGTGGAAGAAAGATAAGATGCACAGACAAATGACAAAAGATACAAAGCAATTGAGAAGTAGAGGACCAACACCACAAAGAGATCCATAAATATCGTTCTTGTAGCAATAATTGCCAAAGGAAAAATTCCCCAATGGGAACAGCTGATATTAGAAGCAGCAAGAAGGGTGGTAAACACAAATGATGTTCGTGAAGTCAACTGAAGCTAGTCAGCCAAGGATTTTAATTCCCAGACAATTAATAATTGATTGTTACTTATATTTTATGCTAACTAAAGAAAAAACAGGATATATATATCCCATTTGAAATGAACAAATAGGATAGCTATGGAAACATTGTGAAACATCTTTGTGATCAGCTAGGACTTCCCAGTTGCCACACTGGACATAATCGCGTGTCCACAAATATAGAATGGTACAGAGACTCCCAGCTAGTGCTTGAATGCACTAAATCCAGAACAGAAGCTGAGGTAGCTGTACTGCTTCCAGGTCACTGTCCTATGTCTCACACAGCACTAAATCAAACCAGGCAGACATATCAGCCTGCTGAATGGTTGCTTGGGAATTTCTAAAAATGCACCATACTGTACCATGGGGACATACACATTTGCCTTTCATTGCAGCTTCACAGTCCAAAGTAAGATAGAGCTAAATACATCAGCCTCTGTGCTGGTTTTGGCTGGGGGAGAGTTAATTTTCTTCTTAGTAGCTAGTATGGGGCTATGTTTTGGATTTGTTCTGGAAACAGTGTTGATAACACAGGGATGTTTTAGTTAGTGCTGAGCAGTGCTTACACAAAGTCAAGGCCTTTTCTGCCTCTCACACCACCCCACCAGCGAGTAGGCTGGAGGTGCACAAGAAGTTGGGAGGGGACACAGCTGGGACAGCTGACCCAAACTGACCAAAGGGATATTTCATACCATATGACATCATGCTCAGTACATAAAGCTGGGGGAAGAAGAAGGAAGGCGGGGACGTTCGGAGTGATGGCGTTTGTCTTCCCAAGTAACAGTTACTCATGATGGAGCCCTGCTTTCCTGGAGATGGCTGAACACCTGCCTGCCGATGGGAAGGAGTGAATGAATTCCTTATTTTGCTTTGCTTGTGTGCGCGGCTTTTGCTTTACCTATTAAACTGTTTTTATCTCAACCTCTTCCGATTCTCTCCCCCATCCCACTGTGGGGGAGTGAGCAAGCAGCTGTGCGGTGCTTAGTTGCCAGCTGGGGTTAAACCACGACAGTCTCCAAAGTAGAGAAATAAATCTCTCATCAGCACCTGGCACATTCAGCTGAATTGCTTGAGTTCAATTTTGAGATGCCCTTTGGTACATATTCTCTAGTTGATTGTAGATCTCATGCAATCTATTGCCCGTTGTAGAGAAATTGAGTCCTCACTCTGGAACAGCAGCTGAAATGACTGCCTTTCAAAGTAAACCTCTCCTTCCCAAATGTTCCCAACTGAGATTAATTTCCGTAAAACCAATGCAAAGGAACCAAGTTTCTCTCTTTCTGCCTCTTACCATTTCCAGCTCTTTGCCTTTCTCCCATTCTGTTCCAACCTCACTTCATGTTGCTGTTATCATGCTACTAACGTTACAGCCAGATCTTCCCCTTCTCTCTCACTCTGATATTTGCTCCTCCTCCTAAATATTGTCACCAGCCTTTAGCCTTGGTTATTTCAGTGAACTTATTGCCAGGCTCAACAGGAGAGGCAAAGTGCTGCCTCTTACATCTTCACTTTCTTTGACTTTGTTCAACACAGAATTCTCACCTATCAATACAAATTTGTTTTGACTTTTCTTATTTCATTTCTTTAACCACTTCTCTTTTCCCTCTGACTTATGATCTATGAATTGTCACTGTGACTTTTTATTTCACCTTTTTCTATACAGTCCATGTGCAAAGCAAGGTTAACCATTCTATTTTACCATTGCCCCACTTCTCATCCGTTCATGTCTATGATTTCTCTCCTGATCTTCTCTATAACCTCATGTTCTCCTGTGTTTTTAGCACTGACTTTTAAATACATCTATTTAACAACTCTTCTATCCCTAGCTTTCATGATACATTTTCCTCCTCATTCACCTCTTCCCTCTGATGGTTCATTTATCACATTTTTTCTTTTCTTCTCCTTCCATTTTGCACTGTTCTTCACTCATTTTTTGCCTATATTTCCAACTGACTTCACCATCACAAATGTTCCTCTACCACATTTTTTTCCTTGGGCTAGTTTCAGCTAATATGTTCTCCAGTTTTCAGTTATTCATCACATTGCCCCACAAAAAGGGAAAGGAGTGGGAGAAGAGGTGCATGGGCAAGAACAGAGGCTAGGTATATCTCCAGAGATCAGTACGGGACAGCCTTTTTTAACTGTAGAGCTGCTATATGCCAGGCTAAGCTGATTGTGAAGTTACAGCATGAGCAAGCTCCAGACTGAACTGGTTGCATTTCATGTGGGCAGAAAGCCACGGTTCCTCAGCACCTGTCCATACCTCAAGAAACAGGGATATAGAGAAAGGAAGTGTTTAGGACCAAACCCTTTGAAAGGGCTTCTGTCCTAGTTGCTGGCATATTGCGGGTGGTGTGAAAGCAGAGATCATTTGTTTGTTTACCCGGAAGAGCATAAATCAGCATAACAGACAAGGTTGCCTGTTTAAATAGGCCATGACACACTGTCAGCTACCCTGGCATGTTACTTCTGCCAAGCAATGCTGCTTGCCTTCCCCTTGAGTGTGTGAATGTCAGCGAGCTAATTACAACACTTTAATCACATTTGGTTTACACAGTTTAGCAAGTCTATTAGGGCCAGGCATTAACCCCTGAAGTGAAGGAGTGTTCCGTTGCCTTAGGTAGCTTTGAGTTCCCTTCTGATCCAGAACAAATTCATTTTTTCTTGACTGACATCATTCATTTATAAATATCCAACTATTCCAACGCTATCTCTTAATACATAGTATTTTGCATACAGCAATGGAGGACAGAAAGGGAGCAGTAAGAGGAGAGCAGCCCTGCAGTTAGCAGCACTTAAATATGCAATTTCAGGTCATGCGATGAGTAAAGGATGCCTTACTACCACCACCACAAGTCTACCTACACAGAAGTATCCTGCTGGATGAAGACTGACACAAAACTCAAACAAGGACACTTTCACTGGCAAGACTCTCCCGGTTCACACAGACCATGAAATTTTACAACAGTTTCCCATCTGTGAAACTTCAGATACGCTTTGCAGCATGACCTG